CGTTCGTAGCGATGCCCGAAAGCTTCTTGCTTCTTCTGTCTTTCGTCTTCTGCTTTTTGCTTCTTTTTCTTTCTTCTTTTGTCCAAAAAAGCACCGGTCTTGGACTTCACCGACTTCACCCCGATCGACGTGGCATGTTCACGTGACTGTTCTCAGGCAGCGCTCACAAGAAGTTCCATGGGACAGACGGTGACTCCCAGGCGACCGGCATCGTCGCACTTCGGAGTTGATCACTGAGAGAGTTGCAGGATGGAAAACCAGGTCTGAGGAATGCTTTGGTATGTCGGTACGCACATCCATTGCCGCATTGCCAGGATCATGTACCGCGCCAGCTGCTTTCTGGCTTTTGCTTGCGGAGTGCTTTGGATCACCGTGCCCTGGCAAGGTCTCAAGATTGTACAAGGAGTTTGTGGGGGAAAACCTAGTCTCTCTACTGTAGATTGCTTTCGTTTTGTGTTTTTCCATGAAGCACAGCTAAGCACAGGCACACCAGCACCAGTGACGGCTTTCACTGCGATGCACTCCGGTTTACCGATGCTTCGAGTAGTTCGAGTAGTCGAGGCCAACTTCTTCCACATCTTGCACAAGGTCTCGGGTTGGCAAACCAATAGTGATCCTCTGCTGCCTTTTTGCTCTAAAGAAGAAACAAGAGATTCCTTCTAGGTTTGAGGCCAACGCTATTAGGTTGGAGGCCATTGCTTCTAGGTTGGAACAGCAACTAGTTCCCTTGGACGACTTAGATTGGAAGGTGAACTACGCCGAACACGAGGCGATGTCGCCCATGGGACCGATGCTTTAGAATTTCCAGGCAGCGAACGGTCGACCGTTGGGTCGGGGACTTCTCGTTCGTACCTGCCAGAAGGTACTTCCAAGACAGCTTTTGGCGCAGCCAATTCAATCCAAAGCTGGCTCAAACGCCAGATCTGAGGCCGTTCTTTAGGCCATGGAGCTGTAGCCAAAAATGGCTAGTTAGTTGCACACTTTCATTGAATGACGTGACAGCCAAGTGTTGAAAAGGACGATCAGAGCCAGCACCTGCTTTCCTTGAGTGCGTTGAACATTGTTGAACCTTTCTGACAAGTTTGTGTGACTGGTCCCCCCAAAGAAGAGTTTCCCCGCTCGTCGTATTTTTTCAGACCATCATATTTCATTATGATGTTGTGGTATTGCGTGAGAACCACTTTTTCTTGAGAGTTTCTCATATGACAAAGTCTATATTCAACTTTATATTTGCCTGAAGTTGTTGGGGTCATGTTTCTTTCTAAAGTTGATCTGGCTCAAACTGCCTTGTCAGACATTTTGCCGTAGATCATGGGAAGACATGGCGCAAGCGCAATATGTTTTGAACTCGTGCGTTGAAACCGCCAACCAGGTCTTGGTTTCCTTGCTCTTTGTGTTGAGCACAGTGAGTCTCGTGCGCCCCAGATGGCCAAAGCCTTCAAGATGCCTCCAGGACAGAGGGGGGAGCTGCGGAAATCAGAGCAGGATGACGGACAATTCTTTCAAAGATTCGAAATCATTGGAAAGGTAGGGCTGGCTAGGGGATGAACGCCCCAATTCATGCGGATTGGGCATGAGTGGATCGGGTGCTCATCGGTCCAGACTGGAGTACTCAAAAGATCTCAAAAGTGGCTGACGTACTGGGATCGGATAAACAACCTAATTTTTGGAAAATTTTTTGGTAAAGATAAGATCCACAACCAGGTGGGTGTCTCAGGAGTCTTCATGTTTTTGGACCAGCTGGGTTTTGTTTATCCTACTTTCTTGAAGTGAGCCAGCTGGTGGATCAGCGTGAGCCAGGTATAGCTCCAGGGAAACACCATGGTGAAAGTAGCAGGACTTGACTAGAATCCAACGATCTCCTGAAATTTAACAGATCTTTTTGACCTATATGTCTTCGAAGATTTGGAAGCAACGTGATTTTCAAGCTTCTTTCGCAAGTCGGGGTGACTGTTCCAAGATCAACCCTGAGCATTTGGTTGAAGCCGAGAGTTTTGATGATGTAGAATGCAGAAAATAGAAATTCCTCCCCATGAAATGCACGTGCTTGTCAGTTTCCAGTACCAGACCCGTGGCTTTTTGCTCACAAAGTCTCTGTGACACAGCGCCAACATCAATCGAGACAGAAAAAAAGATCGTTTTGCCCAGGCCCGGCATCAGGTTTAAGCTGACTGGCCCAACTCACGGTTCTTGAAGCCAACATGTTCTCAGTGCTTGAAGTATCCCTAAAAGAATCGAAGCTGACCAGGACCCCCTTTGTGGAGGAAAATGGTCGGACCCAGGGGCCTTCACGGTTCCCACATAACCATGATTGTTTTCGGGGAATGACGACTCACCCAACTGCAGATGTACAGGGCGGGAGTTGTCTAGCTTGGCAAACCCTTCCAAGGGCGCCCAGGCTGGGCGCCGCCCAGCGGGATGCCCGGCACCTCAACAAGAAAACACGCCGAGGCACCTCCACAGAAGCCAAAGCCGGACCACAAATTCGCTGTGGATCAGAAAACGAAGGTCCTATGATTGCATACGAGTCCCATTTTTGCAGACACCTCTGGAAGCACATGGGTTTCCACCGCGCTGACGATTGTCTACCTTCAAGTTCCTCAATGAAGCATGCGCTGCGGAAAGCACCAGCATTCCATAAATAAAGGTCAAGCCGCTTCCCACAGCTCCAGGTGAGCTGCCATTTCCGGCAGCTCAGCTTTGTGATCGCTGACCTCCAGGTGCGGGTTTCAGGAAACCACGGACGAGCGGAACCCCACGGAAGAAGACTGACCTTAGCTTAGGTTTTATATTAATATAGCTATATATAGATTGTGGAATATAGATACAAAAGATACCTGATGAGGTTTAGTATGATTTTTATCGGATATGTGTGTGCTGTGTATGTGTCAGAGGCGACCAAGAAACACCAATTGTTGAAGTTGTCAATCATTTGATTTTGCCGACTGTGATTGGGAGAGTTTCGCAGATTGACCCAAAATATGAGGCGATGATGGGCGAGATGCAGCTGTTGATGCTGGCAGGCTGGTTGCAACGTAAGCGTGGCACAAGTGGGTGTAGTGGAGGGTGGTTCCAGACCATCATAGGTACCTTGCACTATCTAAAATGTATTTGAAGCAGATTTCAATTTCCATGCTTTGCGCCGCGACACGGGCAGTCGGAAACAGGTGACGAGCCTCAGGTTGGCAGCTCACGGTGGCGTGCCCAGGCCCAGATGTGGTTGTGTGGGCTCCAACATGCTGCTCAATCCGCGTATTTCAGGAAGGGGTGAAGTGGTGGGCAGGGCGGATTTTTCCCCC